TGGAGAAAGGGATGTTTTCAGGCGGAAGGAGTACTGTTGTTTGTTCTTATAACAGTCAAAACTCGTAAAAGACCGGAACAGGAAAATGAGATGGCACTGCGCGCAAAACACTAAATATCGCCGAAAACTCCCCAGCTAGGATAAACGTTTTAGGCAAGACTCCTTGTGGAAACGCCAGAGAATAAAAACGATCATTGATAGTAGACATCCAATCCTGGACTAAAATACGGAGCAAATAATAATAATAATAAATGAAAATAACAATAATAAAGGTAATAATGATAATGATAATGGTGCTAATATGAATGACCCAGGTGTTGAACAGGGAAACGTACAAAAATGTGCTTGGAAGCAAGGAAACGAAACGAAGACAGAAAGAATCCGCTGTTGCTGGTCAGGCACCGGCACTGCACATCCGCCTAAGAGCCAGGGAACTCATAATCATAATCCTTAGGCTTGGGGGTTCTAGGATCGCAACATATATCGACGACGACGACTCGTCCCGTGTGTTTCTCCTCTAGGGCTATAGATTAGCTATATCTCGAATAGGAAAGAGAAAGAAAGACGCACCAGGTGGTATCCTCCAGTCCCCTCGATTAACTACCTCCGTAAGTCCTGATGGCTGCACACCTCTCTCAATGCTCAGAGCTATAAGACCCCAGAATATTGCAGGATCGCCGGCAGCTTTGAGTGCCTGCGAATCACCGCACTCTCGAACATTGGAGGCGCCTGCCAGAGCCTTCAACCAGGAAAGCTGGGTATTCACCATCGGGTTTATTTGGTCACCGACAAACCGCAGAGTGCATTTGCCATCGTGGACCTCGGGCCTCAAGACCTGCCAGGAATATGTATCCACCCCTTCACTTAGCACCGAAAAATCTCCACGTGCGGTATAAATGGACTTCTGAGAGTATATCCGGCTGGTAGTTAGGACTGTCATCGTGGTGTGAAGGGCTTTGTGCTCAAAATTTTCACTCGATTCGACCAATATGCCGCCGGAGTAGTGGTAAAAATTCGTTGAGAGCAATTGCCCGAGCTGTCCACGCTCGGGGAGTTGGGGGTTGGTGAGGCCATGCTCTCTAATGCGGATATAGTACGGAACACCCTGAAAATCCATTAAACTACGTACCCCAACACTGGTGCAAGAGTTTTACCATAATTGAGAGGGGCGGCACACTAGTTGCGAACAAGTTGTGAAAGAGGAGAGATGTTTAGGGAGGAAGGTTTTGTAGGAATGAGGTATGTGGTATTGCTATCGGCCATCAATACTTTGGTGAGCGAGTTTTACTTTATACCGAATCCTGAGGGTTCCTGTTGAAGAGCCGCATAAGACTGGGTGTGGTATAAGGTAAACTTATGGTGTGTGTGCCGTGGTGCGTGTAGAGTATGGTACTGTACAGTACTATACGCGTCTCTCAATGTGCTGCACCACGCAAGCGACGGGCAGCGTCCACGGTTCGGCTTCCTAGACCCAGACCAAGAACAAACGTTGCCCGCCCGATATTCTCGCACATTCGAGTATCTTACAGTCCGGGAAACGTGAAAACAATTGCAGGACCGTCCCCGAGTGCTGTGCTCCACCTTTCCCCAAAGTCTTCGGAGCGTGAGTTACGTGTCCGTGGTCAAGTCAAGGATAATAAATATATTGAACAAGTCACGGCAGTTCCCGCAAAAAATCCAGCGCGGTGGAGCTATCAACCATACAATAAGTGGATCACTTATTCATTCCCCATTCTGGAGACTTTAAAAAACGTCGAGTACTGGAATGCCACGGGGCCCCCCCCCCGTCATTACCTCTCTCACCTCTCTCAGAGAGCTTAACCATGTTCCCAAATGTGCTGCTGCGCCAAAACTAGGGATACTCTCGAGTCAAGCCTACCAATATGTTCTGGTCTCCACAGCGTTTGCTCAACCCTAGTGTAGGGGCAGAATATGAAATACCATACCATTACAAGTATATCAGCTGATCGAGGTGCGGGTCGCCGTTCCTGGGATTGGGGTTCCCGTGACTACTTCTCATACTTGTACGAGTACATTTAGCCATCTCAGACGAGCCCGGGGAGTGTATTGCTTGCCTTATACTGCCCGGCTACTCTGGTCACAGGTTCTGGTTCAGACCCTTCCCGGAGCCCAAAGCCGTCAGGGCCAGTGCGCACAAATTATTATCTTCTTGCATACTGAACAACGTCGCCGAATTCGAGTCGCCGAATTCGAGTCGCCGAACTCGATTCGGTTGACGAAATACCATGGGACTCCGGAGAATCCCTTGCTGGTATTTGCCGAATGGGGGTTTGAATTCTTAGGCGGCGGCTCACTCATTCGCGTAGATCGGCTTCGCACTAACATTCCTCTGACGCGAGTTCACCCAGGTGATCGATGTCTACCTTCTACCCAAAGCGGCTTTGACAAAGCTCCCGGAGAATCGTAAGACTGCATTGGCGTCTCGCCTGATGGATACCGGTGGTAGACGACGTGGAGATGAGAAGGGCAAGCAGCCTCCCCAACTTTGCAAGGAGGAAGTTGTCCAAATTTCCGCTTTTGATCTCCTCTCTTTATTTTGGGGGAACTCGCACAGCTTGCTCGGGTGCTTGTGGAGGGCTCGTAAGTTATGGATTGAGATGGAGCATGGGGACGAAGGTGCCCAGAGACCCTCATTGACCATCAGGAGCAGAGCAAACTAATCAAGCAGACGAGAGGGAGGGGTGGCCGTGTATTACTGATCAAGTTGAATATTTTTGGCCTGGTTCTCCCAGAGAGACGGTGAAAAGCCCGGCGGGAGAGCGGATACAGATTTACGGAGGGAACAGATTGAGGTGCGGCAGGCCAAGATCTTGGAAGCTTATATCCGAGTGGAAATCTTGTCTAGTCAACGACGGCAGAACATTCGTTCTGAGGGGTGGCCACAATCGAGGTTCTTAGATATAGGGATGAAAGTTTCCCCTTCATCGGATAGGTTGGTGGCAATTCGTGAAGGGCATACCGGGAAAAGTACCTATATGGTGTGCCAGGTGCGACTCTATTTTCTGACAGGCGATGAATTGATAGGGGGTAGTGTTCATACGAATCAACCCCTCCTTCCACGTATTTCCAAACATCTTTTGGAGGTGACCGCTGAGTTAGAGTATGCTCTAGATATCAGGGTCGTCGCCTCGTTTACGTTTTTCTCGCGCAATTCCAGATAAGGGAGTAATTGACCGAAAATGGAGGAACTTCGAGGGTAAATGATCCTGAGGTGGAACAGTGTTTCATGGATTGTTGGAAGGCGCAGGAGAGGGACTCGGCGAGGTTGATAGTAGGCACCACATCAAAATCAAGAAGGAGAAAAGACGCCTGCGAAAATTTTCTGATGGGAATAATCTGATTGGAGGGCTGCGGCACAGGAAGGACGAAGTTTGGATGCATGTTTCCCCGGAAAGCCAGGGCTGTGTAAGGGATGATGGAGAGGGAACTCAGGGAGCTGCCATGCGAGATAGCGATAATAAAAAAAACAGACGAGAGCGGGGTGATTGGGGCAATTTTGCACAGTGTCTCGTGCATTAGTATCATACATACCTAGACTGATGTGATAGGTTGAGATCTTATTATGGATGCCAGGAATTCTCCTGATATCGGGCTATGGAGATGACCTCCCGGCCCAAGCGCAGGTAAACCATCCACTGACGGTATTGCGATAGAAGCCCGCATTCCATTTGTATCATACAATTGCTCTTAGGACTATATGGACAAAAAATCGGCCCCATTGCCAACATTATGCTTGATAGGCTTAGGGATTTGTAGACCAACCTTTCGAGGGTGGGGTGGGGGTTACACTTCCAGATAGATACAGGTATTGAACGAAGTAACCTTAGTCTAAACCGGTATGGTTTGTTTGTTTTTCTGTTCCTCCTGCTACCTGCCTTCTACAAAGACGCTTCCCCTAGTTCCGAGCCATCAATCGCCATTAGCATCACTCCGGGAGTGGGAGATTTACAAGTACAGTACTTCACATTTTTTGGGTCGGCAAGTTCCGCGCCAAGGTAACTTTCGTTCTGTCAATAGCAACCTACGCCTCAGAGCTTCCACGATTGCAAAGCATTGACCTCAGGCGAAATTTTGGCTACTAGTTTGATAGGGTAGGCAGAATTTATTCTAGTCAACTGTTTTCTAAGGGTACTTTCCTCCACCGTTGGTTCTCGATGGAGTAGTTCTTTCTCTGTATAGTTTTTTAGATGATGACGACGACTGATCATCCAAATGGCGAACGAACGACAATCGTCGCTAAAACAAGAGCCGTGTGTTAGAGGAAGGAGTTGAGGAATCTATCGTGCGCGAGAGTACACAAAAAGGGTAATAGAGTTCTTACCGGAGATTCCCATAATCGTCTGTTGGTGTCGATACCGGTACTTCAAGGATTAAGGTGGATGGAATTATTGAGGGTCTTCCGCAGTATGACGCCGGTAGTCTTATCTGGACCTCCATGGGGTTGTGTGGGTGGGACTACCACGAGAAAATCACAATGGCTGATCATACTCGAAGGGCATTTCGAGCGTTCCCTGACCAGCCACGTATTGGGTATTTTTGGCTTTGGGTTTGAGAGGAGGAGGCTGCTTGCTTAGATTAGCGGAGGTCATGAACGAACCATTCCATCTAATTACAGGTTCCCCAGGGCCGAATACCGGCAAGATTCGATATCTCGATTTTCCTAAAGAAGTCAGGTGTGCCGTACAAAGTTCACTCGACTAAATTGGGTAGGCTATCTTACTGCATAACGGTTCCGAGAAATGACTCGAGTGCCTGCAGGCGTGGGGGGCCGGGGGTCACACAGAACATCTGAAAGCAATCGCCTAAAGAGACTTTATCAGCCAACTGCGTGGGGGTGAGTCGTCTCGGCGCCCGCTTGAACAACTCCTTTCATTTCTCTAGAGATGACTGGGGATTGTTGTCGTGGATATCGTGACCCTGAGAGTGCGGCAGGGCAATATAGTCTGGGCCATCGTGCAAAGCTGGTCTCATGGCTCTCCATACTTCTTTCTCGCTCCCCTCTGCTCGAGTAGAGTGATTCATCCCCCATCCTCTGGCCCAGTGCCAACAAGCAATTCTTTTAGAACCTCCTTAGTTACCGGCGGATGCACCATCGCCGACGATAAAGTTTTAAAGAACACTAGTTGGCTTTGCCGCAACTTCAATCTTCCCAGTGCATAATGTTACCTCCACCCATAGAGATCCATTGACCGGTTTTTGCCGGCGATCCTATCACCAAAGTATGTTCTCCGCCTGAAGATGATCTGAGGATGCAACGCTGCCATGAGCCAGTTGCCGTAATGAAAGAACGACTCTACATTTGCGGGAGGTTCATAATGCTTGCAGGCAAACTGCCGGTACACGATTATACTGGTGGGAGTCTCTTCTATTGTCAATCCATATCCGCTCTTTCAAGACGCGACAGATGAAAGACTGCTATTCCACGACCTCGGTAACGATGACAAAAAGACACCTCCTCCCGTCAACAATCCCGTGAAACCCCCAAACGTGCCGAGTGCTGTTGGGGGTCAGCTGTAGGCAGACGAAGAAAATAAAAGGCTGTATTTCTTTAGTGGAGAATATGGAGGCATCTCTCCTGACTTTCCTCTTCTCTAGGCCTGCGACACATGGGAGGATTCATGGCTAGGGTTGTTCCGGGGTTCAATGGACCGGAGAAGGTGAAGCGCGCTGCTTTGCATAGGAGGGTGGGTTGGGCCTCAGAGCGTTGCTGGATGGAGTAAGGATGGAGTAGGGATAATGTGCCGTTCTGAGCTTGATATCCTTCGCCGTGATATAAAAAAATGACCTCCGCAATGACACCCGGCCAGCTAGAGGTCCAAGAGTCGAGGGTATAATTGCTTCCATACGTACATACGGGAGATGATGGGCCTCTGACTTCTTTCAGAGGTTATTATGCCAAGAACTGGGGAAACCCAAAGGGCGTACGTCTCACGAATGCCGAATTTTAGGATTGTTATTCAGCACCAACCCTACTTTATAAGGCACCAATGAGTGAGATTGATGTTCATGACTTTAACCAGAGAGTTTGGCATCAAATGATGGCATCGAGACAATATCCAGAGTCATCAAGGCGTTTCTGTGGTGTTTCCTCTGCTTTCGATGGAAGCTCCCCATAATGCGTGAGTAGTCTCTATCATTCGGGGTCATATCTGAGGTAAAGCTATGATAACAGACGCATAGCCACCACATTCGTGGCGGCGCCTCTACAGGTCTCAGGATAAGG